TTTTGTTCACTCTTTAATTTAACAGCTTAACTTGTAGCTTAAATTATTGATCTGGTGAGATGTACTGATTAAATGCACTTTGTTAGTAACCGTTAGTAACCACCTCTAACCGGTACGTTTTCACTTACAAATGTGGGACATCAGTGTACAATAGACCGGGTACAATATTTGTATATCCTATAAAAGATACAACCTGAAACCTGAACCTGTCTTCCTTTCATAGGTAAACCGTCAAATTAATCCCGAAATAGGCCTTTTTCTCCTGCGGAACAAAATCTGAAATTAAACCGGACGACAACATCTGTTACTCTTAGATCACGTGGTTCAATACGATAGGAAGGTTGTTTATATTTAGAAAATGTTTCACTCGTTTGCCCAATAGCTGGTTACCATAACAACCAATAGCTGGACGTGTCTAAAAATACCTGCCAATCACACAGGACTCTTAGGATTATGACAAGATGGCCGATCAGTTGACTGATTTTCAGTTTTGCTCCCACTTGGTCAAGTGGACGTTTCATGCTAAGTCCAACATTGTGTTAGGGCATGCTAACATTGTATCCTCTCCTGACAGACAGTGTTAGGGCATCCACCTCTTCATACCCACCTCTCCCATGTCTATCTGTCTTCACATCTTCATAAGTCAGCCGGTGATGTCAATATAATATTCTCTCTATATCTATTAACACTGTTATTATTACGACATAGTAACAGTGTTACTGGTGTAACTGTAACCATAGTAACACATAGTAACAGTGTTACTGGTGTAACTGTAACCATAGTAACACATAGTAACAGTGTTACTGGTGTAACTGTAACCATAGTAACACATAGTAACAGTGTTACTGGTGTAACTGTAACCATAGTAACACCTGCCCACCCCACCTAGCAATTTGAGGATTCACCTTCAATTTATAAACCCACTAAAAGTGTCCTTGTCGATATTCTCTCACGGAAAAACGTGATTTTTGTTGGTTTCAGCGCTGGTAGAAACATCGAAACAAGCCTTTGTAAACTCTAATCAACAACATTCTGCATATCACCGCATCTACGTAATGATTATGGTCTGGAAAAAGCGCTTCATCCTAATTTCAATTTAGGAAGTCACGTTAAGCGTGGTGCTGTCCTGTAAAGCACATTCCAACGGGCTGTGTTACAGCTAGTTGGCATATTATTCGCATATTTTAGACCAGTTTACAGCAATTCTGTTTTGACGAGTAATGGAGCGTGTGTATTGTTTTACTTCATTGCTATCCGTTGCTATAGTAACTACATTTTGCACGGCTATATCTCTGCTATTTCACTGCAACGAGCGGGTTCCTGCAACGTGACATTTACTTGCAAACGTTATACATTAACTTTGTACATATATTAGAAATAGATGCGCATACATACTTATACGAAAATTCCTAGAATGGAACTTGAATGGCTTTGGCTCACGTATCTCTTTAGCATGACCTGGTAACTGAAGCTAATAATATAAATATATGATATTTTTTATAATCCCCTCCTTCTTGACACGGCACGTAGCAGGGTTACATGTGTCCTTCTTGACACGACCCGTAGCCGGGTTACACGTGTCTGTTTGAATGTGAGCGGGAGATATCATAGCTTTAAATATGTGTCATCCAACATTGCTCATAATGCTCAATATGGACTCTTGTTTTGTGTTTGCTGCACTATTTATATCTTGTTGTGGGTTCTTTCTTCTTGATTTAGCATTTGTGTCTGACGTCGTATTTCAGGCCATACGTTGGCCTCTCTAGCATCTCAGTGTTGCCAGATGATCTTTGGGCCCTGGGATGACACGTGTAATACTACTACTACTACTACTACTACTGTGTATTGTGTATTGCGTATTTGTATCCTAACCTTTTAACATGAAACACAAACAAAGGTTTAACAGGTGATAATATCACTGATAACGGGTGATATGGTGATTAAAAACCTTCTCGTGATGAGAGTTAATTATTTGGCATGATCACCCTTGGAAATAGGACTGCTCTTCTGCGAAGTGGTAGTACAGCCAATAGTGCAAAGTAAATAGTGCACAAAAAATAATGCACAGTGCAAAGTGCACAATGCAAAGTACAGGGCACTGTGCAGTGTGCACTCCCGATACATTATTGTCATAGGATGAATTAGGGTAGCCGTCTTTTCAGTCGACGGATAAAAAACGAGTAAAAAACATACTAAGAATACCATCGGTTCAATATATAGAGTATCAGAGATATACAGTGATGAAGTAATACCATATCCGGTTACAAGTCATGCAGTCCCGCTAGAAGTTGGATAGAAAGTAATCTAAGTAATATAATCAATTTGTTCATTCCAGCGGAAAAATGCTCCGGGAACCCTGACTTATAAATTGTGGTGTCCTCTGTTCCTTAGAGGGCAGAATAGCTGTGTGTTCTTTAAAGAATAGCTGTATGTTCTTTAAAGAATAGCTGTGTGTTCTTTAAAGAATAGCTGTGTGTTCTTTAAAGAGTAGCTGTGTGTTCTTTAAAGAGTAGCTGTGTGCTCTTTAAAGAATAGCTGTGTGTTCTTTAAAGAGTAGCTGTGTGTTCTTTAAAGAGTAGCTGTGTGTTCTTTAAAGAAGGTCTGTGTGTTCTTTAAAGAGTAGCTGTTTGTTCTTTAAAGAGTAGCTGTGTGTTCTTTAAAGAGTAGCTGTGTGTTCTTTAAAGAGTAGCTGTGTGTTCTTTAAAGAATAGCTGTGTGTTCTTTAAAGAATAGCTGTGTGTTCTTTAAAGAATAGCTGTATGTTCTTTAAAGAGTAGCTGTGTGTTCTTTAAAGAATAGCTGTGTGTTCTTTAAAGAATAGCTGTATGATTACATCACTTGTAGTAGTAGTAGTAGTTGTCATCATGCAGTGACGTTTGTAGTAAGAGTCCTTTGAGTAGTTGCAATGATGAAAATAGGACGTTCTAATTTTGTGCCCTTTGATATTTTAGCCCAATAAGTGGGAGATGATGATCGATGTAATTACTGTGTAATTACTGTGACTGTGATCACCGTCCTAATTCTTTGTGTCATCCCACTGATTTAGGTTGGGAGCTTCGTTTCGATATAATTTGCTTCCTAGACATTTCTTTTTGTTTCCTCAGGCTTACATTTGACATTTCCGCGATACAATCTTCTTGTTCCGGCTTATTGAGTTATGTGATTTTTAAAACTTCGCAAACTTGTTTTCCCGTCAAGTTGCACGTGTTGCGTAACCATAGTAACAGTGTTACTGGTGTAACTGCACGTGTTGCGTTTCTAGATTTGAGGCTGCATATTTGACATGACTTTCAAAATAATTCGAAGTATGTAGGGCTGGGCAGTTCTTTACTTTTCTGTTATTTAGTTACAGTGATCTTACATTGGCCTTCGTTACTTTGTTCTATTTTTTGATTAAACTTATTTATCGTTACACAAAGTAAATTTGAAGGAAAATCTTGGCTTGAGGAATGTAATTTACTATGTAAATTCAAAAAGTTACTAACCTTCTACTATAGCGGCCAGCTCCTCCTTCATCACGCCTCCTCACTCCTCACTCCTTAAACCCTCCGAACAATACCCCCTCCTAAAAACATGGCCTACTCCATCCACCCCCCTCTCATCGGAACTATAATGACCCAAATCACCAACGCCGAGACAGTAGTGGAGTACGCTCGGACAGTCTACCACTACGTCGACACAACCCTGGACACTATCGCAGATCAGATCCTCATAGGTTATCAGACAGTATGGGAATACATCCCAGATTATCAGACTCTAGTGGAGCACGTGCCCTATCACGAAACTATTTCTGGGTATGTGCCAGATTATCAGACCCTAGTGGAACACGTGCCCATTCTGGAGCCGGTAATGGAACATGTTATGGAGCCGGTTATGGGTCGGATGCCGGAGAAGGGGGTTGTTCAGCAGATGATCTGGGATAACCTGAACTTTCTACATACCTGTGTCAAGTTTTATTATCTGATCATCGGGGTGCTGTTTCTGGCGTATGCTATCCTCTCGACCTTTCAATGCCATGTTGTACAGTGGTCCTTGCGACCACGGCCCCCTACCAAGAATAGAAAGATCCCCTCCACCATTTCGTAAGTATCACACTCCGCAAGCAATCCTCACAAGTTACCATACCAACACCATAGCAACACCATAGCAACACCATAGCAACACGTTACTGTGGGAAGTATCACATCATCGGATCTTACTCATCCTTATTTATTTAAAAACGTCTTATTTAAAAAACCTCCTGCTTCTCTTCACAATCATCAAACTTACACTTATTTTATTTATTAACTCACACAACATTGCAGCTGATAGTTTTGTGCGGGGTGATTATGAAAATTGGAAGTAATGAGTCTCGTTATTTAATAGCTGCCTAAGTGTAGTTTGTCTAAGTACCAATGGCTGGGATGTCTGAAAGAGCACTGTTTCATGTAACACTTCTTCTACCAAACTGTCAAAATTATGTTTGTGTTTTTGGAGGTTTTAGTGTTTTTGGAGGTAATTGTAATGGTAGGTCATAAATATAATTACTAGAATGAGACCGATATTTGAATATTAGAATAGAACTAATATCTGTGTGCTAATAAAATTTGGTTTTGAGAGAAAATCGTTGTACCGTAATATTTAATATTTCAATTTTTGTGTTCATCACCCAAGTCGTGTTTTGAAGTTCTTCACGGTCCTTAGTTATTTTTCCACATCAAAAAGAATCATTGGGTACACTTCAATTGAAAATAGGATCTATCATGTTTCAATAATTCTATTTCAACAATGCTATTACCACACTCTACCTGGTGTGAAAGCTCATTGACTTTCAGCGCACGAAACCAAGATCTTTAGTGAGCCCAACATATTGCTAATACTGAAATACTAGTACGGCTGGAAAAGGTGGCCGTTAAAAACTGTAAATTACAATAGAATAAAATTAAAAGCTCTAAATATAGAGGCCAGGTTTTAGCGCGATTGTTGTTTAAACACCCTTCTTATAATCTCCTCTCTTTCAGTCGACAGTACTCCACACCGGTCCAGTCCCCCAGAAAGGAACAGAGTGTCCCCCTTCAACCAGCCAGGAGACGGAAGAGTCAGATAAAAAGTCAAAACAAGGTTAGTTCCGAACAGTTTTTACCCCCGGCCCCCCCCCCCCCTCAGCTTCTCCCCGTCCCCTAGGAGTATTTTGTGCCCAAATATTTGTATGCTTCAAACGAACGTTCAAGTAGACGGAATAATAAACAAATCGGACTTTTTTCTTTAAAAATTACACCCCCTAATAAATACATATTTTGTATACCCGACGGCCGACGGCCGACATTTACTCTTTTGTGTTACTGTTAAAACTAACAATTAACCGTTCATAACATCTCCTTTCACTAGTAACTATGGTAACTAGTAACTCTTTTGTGTTACTGTTACTAGTAACTATGGTAACTAGTAGTGTAACTATGGTAACTTACTGTTAAAACTAACAAAAAGATACACTCGGCCCAGATATTATTACTATTTATAATTCATGTAATTACAATGTGTGTAATGTACTGTTAAACACAAGTTGTCGAGGACAGCCTGTATTTAGGGTTACAGTTATAATTCAGGAGTCGGGTTATTTAATTTGTCAGTTAATACTTGATAGGTATCCAATATGGGAAAATTAGTGGTTTATCTGTGCTCTATTTTGGTGGAGGGGCTCCGGGATGTTAAACTGAGAATATGCAAGCAAACTCACTAAGGAAGAATTTGGTCACAGTCACTGCATTAATCACAGGTTGTTGGACAGTTGTCATTTTCGTAAACAAGCAGAATCCCGCTCGTTTCCCGCTCGTTTCCCGCTCATTTCCCGTTCATTTCCCGTACATTTTTTAACTCGGTTCACTGATCCAGCAAGTCAATATCTCAGTTTATTGTTAGTAGTGCATACAGCAAGACAATATATACATGATATAGGGTTCCTGCTAGAGTTAGTACAGCCGGTGTAGCGGGTATTTTAGGTAGCTGTAACCATAGCTAAGTGTTGAAGATGCCAATCGCTGAAATGATGGCAAATCATTCGAGGTATCGAAACTGTCCGATAATTCAATACACATCTTAAAATATACTTTCCCTGCTTTACTTCCCTGATAACAAATAAACATTCCAAAGCTCTGAAATCTTATATATTTTAAAGAAACAAAACAGAATTTCTATTATTTAATCGTTTCGTATTTTCAAAAAGTAGTTAAAAACGTCTTTTATTCCGAAACTAACCGTTCATAACATCTCCTTTCACTAGTAACTATGGTAACTAGTAATGTAACTATGGTAACTAGTAGTGTAACTATGGTAACTTTCAGACGCGACGGAAACCACCAGCCAAACTACTGTCACAACCAGAAGCAGAACTTGAAGATAACTTTGACCTTCTAGATGACCTTAAGTCGCCTGTGTGAGTACATTTAAAAAACAAGGAATTAATTAAAGTTCTGTGGCTTTAGCTGCAAAGTACAAACCTCCAGGGCATACCATTTACATAATATTGAGTATTTAAATATAACAGTATTTTTGGTATTTTGAGGTATTTTTGCAGCCGTAAATGTGTGCGGAAACTTTGTATAAATAACACCGCGACTTGCACCAGTGGTGTACACACTGGTGTACACGAGATTCTGTACACTTCAACATGTAAACTGGTAGGATACCTGCTGCACAGTGGGTACCTGCTGCACAGTGGGTACCTGCTGCACAGTGGGTACCTGCTGCACAGTGGGTACCTGCTGCACAGTGGGTACCTGCTGCACAGTGGGTACCTGCTGCACAGTGGGTACCTGCTGCACAGTGGGTACCTGCTGCACAGTGGGTACCTGCTGCACAGTGGGTACCTGCTGCACAGTGGGTACCTGCTGCACAGTGGGTACCTGCTGCACAGTGGGTACCTGCTGCACAGTGGGTACCTGCTGCACAGAATACCTGTACTGGAACAGACAAGGTGATTAACTATGTTAGCCCTAAGAGCGGTTACTCCCCGACATGGTCCACAACTCCTAACTATATTTAAAGGGGATATTTCCTAAATCTTATTTTTTTAGCCTTCAGATTTAATCTTAGCTGTTTTAATGCGATTTTTAGGCGGTCATGAGTAGGAACTTACGCACGCAACACATTTTATGGCGTCTTATTAAAAATAGAGAAAAAATAAGGTAAATATTTCTAGAATTCTTCACAAAAATACGACTTTTTAACTCACCTCAAATTTTATCCAAAGAGGTGCCTAATTTAGTCCTGAAAATTGCGCTCCAGTGTCTAGTCATCTAGAAAATAAGCGTCTTATTAAATTAAGTGCACTCTCTATCCTATTTAGAAATTGTGGGTAAAGTGTGAAACATGATACATCCCCCATGTATTCTCTCATTACTCTGGTGGGACTAGTGGTGGGTTCTCATAGTCACGTGACTGAGAACGTTATTTAAAGTGCACGGAGCACCAGCTGCGTTAAACTGATCAGGGAAGTGTGTCACGTGCTCTGAAATGGCCATCACGTGGTATGAAGGTAGCTGCACGTGGTATGAAGGTAGCTGCACGTGGTATGAAGGTAGCTGCACGTGGTATGAAGGTAGCTGCACGTGGTATGAAAGTAGCTGCACGTGGTATGAAGGTAGCTGCACGTGGGCGGTTTCGAAGTTAAATGTGGTGGAGATGAGGAGATATTGCGACACATTTAAGATAAATGTTGATCATGTATGGAGTTTACGTATTTACCGAGATACGAGATATTCGGGATCGTTACTTCATTGCCATTATGATTGGCGTCAGAGATTAACTGTGAAATGGTTTCAAAATCTAACATGACGCAGAGTTGAAGAGGTCACAAAAATACACTTTCCGCGACCGGCGACCAGTCTCATTCAATTCAATATTCCCGTATGATAAATAGTAACGGAAAACAATCAGTCCGTCATGATTGATCGCAACAATCACTGCTTGATGAACGCTGATTCATGGTCCTGCGTTTTTATTGAATCATCACAAAACTCAATCAAAAGCAATTAACCATTCAATACATTTGCAACAAGTCCAAAAGACGAATCCAGTTTTACGATTCCCACAAAGCAAGCACGATTTAATTGAAAAAACATATTCAATTTGCTATACATGAATATCCATGGGTGGCCAAGTGGTCAGCATCAAACTTAAATGGTTCATGTTTTGATGCATGAGTGTAAATAGAGTCAAGTGAAAGTTCACGCCAGCAATGCAAGGTGAACGCTGGAAGTACCCCTGAAGTAAAGTCACGTGGAAGGGGTTCACGGTCACGTGGGCGGCCTAGGAGGGGTTCTTATTGGTGGTCAGGGCTCTTTGAATAGAGAATAGCAAGGGAGAAACGGTTGCTTGCTAATGGTTCAGACAGACAGTACAGCTGAATATGGTCTACTTGCTGTGCTGTGATTGGTTGAACGGACGCACGTGGGCGGAATGCTGTGCTGTGATTGGAGGAGAGATGTCACGTGGTCTGATTGGCGAGTTCTGTAAAGCGTGAGTTGGAGTACACAGTCGAGTTTATAATCTGTAAAACGGAAAGAGTTCCGTTAAAATGTCCGTCCTGGTTAAAAGTAGCGATTTTGTTACCTTATTATTGTTTTTAAAAACTGTTATCTGACTCGTTTTATTTCCTTTTTGTCTGATTTTTAGAGGTTTCCTTGTTATCAAGTTAGCCGTACTCCGAGGGAGAGATATCGGATTAAATCTTAATTTTTTGTAATTCTCCGGTATTATTTTGTTGTTTTCTTTTGGCACCACTTGCGGAAATTCCTGAAAACCGATTACAAACAGCACGGTGATAACAGCATCTCATCATTAAATTACTCAGTCACAATTACAGATATCCTAAATTACTCAGTAACAAATACAGATTTCCTAAAAATCTGCTGAAACCAAAAATTACGGGATATATATTCTCGCACTGATTGCAGACACACTCAGCACAATCGAAATACCAGCAACTGGGATATGTTATCCTAATTGAATTTCCACTAGATACCATCAAAAAAGAGAGAGAGCTGATTAACAAATTAACTTAACAATCTCACCACGTTGATTGGGCTTGTGTATTAGAGTATTAGACAGGGAGAACAGCTTATTTTGGTTGATACTGATACGTTTTCGTAGCTGTTCGTTTAGGAAGTGATGGTTGTGTCGATGATTAATAGTCACGTGATTGTGATGAGAGCAGCTGATTGGTTGTAACCCAAGTAACAGTAACCATAGTAACAGCTGATTGGTCAGTTGTTCCATCATCTGTCTCTTGGTTGGAAGTTATGGTCATTGGCATGTGAATCATTCTTAATCCCATCTTTCGATAGCTCTATAAATACATTATACGATTTGGCTAGTAAATATAGTAGAATCAATCTTTTTAAGTCAGGATTGTTTAATTGGATTCCTTTTGATCTTGCTTAAATTATTCCTAGTTTTCTTAGTTGTTACCATGTCCTAAATCAGCTTTTAGGATCTAGGTCTCATCTTCCTTTGGCTGATCCAGTAGGATTTATCTCCTATTTGATGAAGCGGCTCTTTGAGGGAAAGTTTAGAAAAAGCAAAACTAAACGAAAGAAAAAGCTTACTGTATCCTTCACAGATATCCTCGTCAAAGAAACGGAACAAATAAACTTCATCCTTATTCCAGACAAACCCTCTGGAACAATCTCTTCTTCATCCAGATCTCCACCTTCGCAAATACCGAGCAACCCAGCATCTCCCATCCTGTCTGCCTCGATAGCGTCACCAAGTAGGGTAATCAGTACGACCCTGCTATACTCAACTCAAAAGCTTCATAAACTGGATATTGCGTCTCCGGTTTCGATTGCTTCATCCACCTTTACCCCCACTATCCCAACTTGTTCCACCCCAACAGTTTCCTGTCTCAGCTCTTCCATTACAGTTCCTGGTATTAACTCCTATAACATTATACAGCACAGTGCTCCTTTATCAAACATTACAGTTCCTGGTATTAACTCCTCGAGGGTTTCAGTTGCAAACTCGCCCGGTAAAAATGAGGTTAAAATAAGCAGTTGTGTTGAATCTGTACGAAAAAGCGTAGAATTGCCGAAAATTTACATTGCATCTCATTCTCAAAACGAAGTAGTTGTCAAACTAAGGGCTAAACTAATTCCCGAGTGCAACAACCGACCTAGTAACCATGACAACCGACCTAGTAACCATGACTACAGTACCAGGTCTTCTTTATGCTACCCGTTGGGGGGTAAGTTGGAAATAACAGGCTTAGACATACGTGACGTGTGTTTGAGAGTTGAAGAGATTATGAAAGAGGAAGTGGAATTGGAAGAGGAAGTGAAAGAGAAAGTGAAAGAGAGATTGTATGTGAATGCGAGAGAGAAACTGAGACCAGTATCGTGTGAAGTTGATATTTTGAGGGGCGTGACCTGGAATGATGTGGACAGTGTGAAATTGTAAGTAAAATTAAAATAAACTCAATTATTAAAGATCAAACTTTAATTTTACTCCCATTTTCATTTTTAGCCCCGATAGTTCATCATAAAATATCTGAATAATACCCCCTCGATTTCTCATTTTACCAGATGATATCTAAACAACTTCGCCCACAATCAGCTTCATATTTTTAAAAGTTGCCCCCCCCCCACTACACATTCCCCCCACATTGTTGTACATGTTTCCCACCTTACTGCACATGTTTCCCACCTTACTGAACATGTTTCCCACTTTACTGCTCATGTTTCCCACCTTACTGCACATGCTGTCTACATGATGTGAACATGATTGATTTTGGACACGAAGGGAAACACACAAATTTGGCTTGGAAACTTCGTTTATTACATCGCTAGAGCCTACAAAAAAGAAATAAATTAGTCAGATAAAATCAATCATAATACTCAGTCAAAGAGATTCAAAAATTTATAAAAAGGTCATGATTAGAGAATATCATGAAAGTCGATCAGAAATTGGAATACGATAAAATTGTTTCACTGATAACGTGGTAGATAAAATTTATAAGGAAAAATGACGCAAAATTGGCACAAAATTGTTAAAATTAATTAATTACAGATATGGGTAAAAACCACAAAAAAACTATCTTTTAATTTCCATCCTATTTAAACCCCAAACATTAGTTCTAAACTTTGCACAAAATCTAGCCTCTTCCCTATCTAATAGGGAAGGTTTAGTCTTTTTCACAATCCCGAATTTGAAACAGTCAAAACTGAAAGTGTCCTTGTGTACATCGTAACAATGCATTGATAAGGCTGAGTGCTCGTAGAGGGCACGGTCGTCAATGTTGAACTTGTTCCGGTGCCCATTGAGCCTAATGTGGAATGGAGTCAACGTCTGCCCAAAGTAAGTGTCCTCAGATCCCTCAATAGTCCTACACTGCTGGCATTGTGCAACGTAAATAATGTGCTTATCTTTGCACGTGAG